AAAGAAAGAAAGAAATGCCCTATGTATCAGATATCAGTGTGACCCTTTCTACCCGTTGTCTGCTACCAATCCAACCCACCCGTCTGGACCACGGGCCCCTCTTCTCAAGTTCTTTACCATCCCCTTCCCCCAAGGCACAAGCTTAGCCAGCCTGGTGTCCAACTGGCTAACTCCAGTCCCACCTGAAGCTGATACATTAACGTCTGACTTTAATGCCCGCATAAGAGGACACTGTCACATTTGATATTTTAGTTACTTGGTCTCAGTTAGGAAGGGAGTCACAGATACAGGGTGAGGCAAAAGTCGGCTCACAGTTATGAGTATGCAAAACACAGTTTATTCTCGTATTATTGTTTATTAATTAATGTATTACTTGCCATACAAATAACTGTGAACCTACTTTTGCCCCACCCCGTATCATGCTGAGCTGAAAGGCCTATTTAATGGATGAAGCCCCTTCACACAGGCTGCCCCGCCCTAACATCCACCTTGGGGAGTGAGCATGAGCATCCTGATTCATCAGGAAGGAAGCCAGACCTCGGGGAAGTGAAGAGATCTGCCTCCCGCCCACGTCACACACGGCGGCAGAGGTGGGTCCCCTGACTTGTAGTCCGGTCCAGTGCTCACCCCCTGCCCCGTCTTCCATGCTGACTGTTTGATGGGAGCTTTTATTTATTTATTTTTTCTTTATTGATTTTAGAGAGAAAAGAAGGGAGAGGGAGAGAGAGAAAGAGAGAGATAGAAACATCGATGAGAGAGAACATCGATTGGCCGCCTCCTGCATGCCCCCCACTGGAGATTTGGCCCACAACCTGGGCATGTGGCCTGACCAGGAATCGAACCAGTGACCTCTTGGTGCATGGATCCACGCTCAACCACTGAGCCACACCAGCTGGGAGTTGATGGAGCTTTTAAACGGGGGCATGAGTGGGCAGGGCAGCAGCAATGTCTACGCAGACGGTGGGCTCTGCGGGGCTCTGTGAGGGAGGCTCTGGAGTTGCCCCCAACCAGGCCAGGAGGTCAGCGGGCTCAGAGAGGTGCCAGTCCCTGGTGCCTGCTGGTCACTGTGGGGCAGAGGTAATATGGACGAGTTAAGAGTGTGGGCTTTGAATTCAGACCACGTGAGAATAGAGTGGCAACTCTGTCTGCCACTTACGAGCTACCTGGCAGGAGCCCAGTTCCTCTGAACCTTGGTCTTCTCATTGGTAACGTGGAGGTAATAACACAATTTCACCGGATTGCGAGATTGCACAAGATAATAACGTGAAGCTCTTAGATTTGTGCCTGGCACATATAAGCACTGAAGAAATTGTTTGAAGGAACTGGTCCCTGTAGCCTAAGAAATTTCTTGGCACATACATTCTACTTGTTCAGGACTCTGCCTCTGAATCTCCCCAAGTTCTCAGTGACCTCTAAAAAAATAAACAAAATAAACACCTGCCCCAGCAGGGTGGCTCGGTTGGTTGGAGCGTTGTCCCATGCACCAAAATGGTTGTAAGTTCAATTTCCAGTCGGGGTACATACAGGAGGCAGCTGATTGATGTTTCTTTCTCATACTGATGTTTCTCTCTCTCTCTCTCTCTCTCTCTCTCTCTCTCTCTCTCTCTCCCCCTTTCTTCCTCTCTAAAAAGCAATAAAAACATATCCTCTGGTGAGGATTTTTTAAAAAAGAAAAGAAAACAAAACAATATCTGCCATCTATAGACTTTTACTATTTCTTAAATCCTCACCTCCCCCAAGAAGCCCTCCTGATTGCCCTCACCCTGAGCAGTCTAGACATGGCTACTCTCCCTGGTCCCTATCCCCAGACCTGATTGCCTAGTTCCGAAAATACCTTGTCTTAAGCCTTCCCATTATGGTTCGACCTCCTTCTCCACCCCAGTTCCAGTTGGTTCATTAGTCAGACCCTGCCAAATACACAATTGGGTCTGAGCCCCGATCCCTGACTGGGTGTGCCCTCCAACTCCACAAAGGGGACCCAGGTCCAATCACAGGCCCTGCACAGATCTCGGCCTGGACCTGAGACCACCCCTGTGAGACCGCTCTTGGGGTAGGAAGAGGCAGAGTCAGAGAGCAGAAGGCAGGGGCTGGGTTCTGGGGGACATTTCACACTCAAGCTTCAAACGGAAAAGGTGGCAGATGCCAACTGTAAAACACGAGCGGAGCGTGCTGAGCAAATGTGCGCAAGGCTGTAAAATTCCAAAGCAAACAAGAGGGAGGGCAAGAAGCAGGTGCCACGGCCCCAGAGGTAAAATTTGCTTCTGAAATTTCAATTTCTGAAGATTTCTGGAGGCCTTCCTGGAGTCTGTTAGTGATCCGTTTACATGTGATGACATCCAGCCCGTCTGGCAGCTCCATGAACACAGGAGGCTGGGGCACAATCGTCCTGCTCCCCCAGCCCCTCCCCCCAGCCCACACTCCTGCAGAGCTGCACGGGGCTTGGGGAGCGCCAGGGCAAACACGGGCCATAACACATCTGCGAGGCACACGCCATCATCTCCTTCCATCAGATGAAAACACAGCGGCTCCAGGGCTTAACCAACAAAGATGTGGCAGAGCCAGAACTCGAACCCAGGTCTCCAACTTTAGGTTCCGCTCCATTACATGACAACTCCATCCCTTCAAATAAAGTGGACCCTAACAACACAACCACGCCCAAAGAAAAAATCGCAAAACACCCCACTGTTGTTGCTTTTGTCCGGGGCCCAGTTCCGCTTGGCGATCTCCATTGTTTCTGTTTTGCCCCTGCATCCAGGCAGCAGCCTCCCCCATCGGGATGGGAATGCCTTGGGTGCCAATAACTATCTTCACCCCCGCCTAGGACAAGGGGCTCTCTGAAGGAGAACAGGCCCTGCTCCACCCCACAGGCTGGGGACACTGGGCAAGCCTGGCACTTGGTCAGACCAGATCCCTGATTTTCCTTCAGAGCTGCAGCCCAGACAAGAAAGGTGATTCCCACTGTAGCCACAGCAGGACTGAGTGGCCAAAAGGCTGCCTGGCTCTCCCAGCAGCCCCACCTCCCTCGTCTGCATTTCCTACCCCGTCCACCCTCCTCCTCCTCAGTGTTGCCTCCTGGAGGCTCCCTGCACTCACCAGCCCCCAGGCCACACTCCCCGCTGGCTCAGATTTCTGGGCCTGGAGAGGAACTGGAGCCTCAGAGAAGCTGGGAGCCTGAGCCCCAGCGTCGGTCCGTGGAGAGCACCCAGTCCAGCTCCACCTCCCCAGAAGCACTGCCAAGAGGCTAAAAGGGAAATGCCAAGTTTGCTCTTTGTATTCCCCAGGGTGAGGGCAGGAAGATAAGTAATTACATTCCTGGGCAGGAATTAGACCAGAAACTCTAAATTGAGGGCTGGGCAGGGGGCCGGAGCAGAAGCACGTGAGAAGCCCTAGGAGAGAAATGGAACTCAGCACTCCGGCCAGAGTCAGAGGGAAAGAGGACATTCCAGCATCAGCAGAAGGCCGGCAGCTGGCACGGTCCGCGGAGGCTGCTGGCTCCAACCGCAGGCCCTCAGAAGCTCCGAACCCCCCTGCACAGCCCTGACCCCTTCAGCCTCCCCAGAAGCAAGTCCCACAGCTGGAGGGCTCTGCTTTGCCTGGTTGTATAAGCTCCAAGCAGAGGGCGGCAACCGGCCCGGACACAACCTCAAGACCTGGGTTCTCAGCTTCCAGTAGCCCCACAATCCCCAGCCGTAGCCTCCCCACCATGATTTCTAAACCAGCCCCCAGACACATACAACAGCCCACCCAGAACCTCCCCCTGGTCCCTGGGAACTTCACAGCTCAGAGACTAGCAGTTTCCTCTCTGGCTTTGCTCCTCCCCAGCTGTGGGGGGCCAATTTCCTGAAGCCACCCCTTCCCCCAGCCCCACAAGGCCAATCAGCCCATTTCAGCTACAGAGGCCCCCTCCATCTCTCTCTCTCTATACACACACACACACACACACACACACACACACAGGGCAGAGCAGAGGCCAGCATCTACAGCCATGCCTGCAACTCCAGCTCAGAGTACCAGCTCGAGAAGCCCCCTCGCCGCGCAGGTGTCTGTCTGTCTGTCTGTCTGTCTGTCTGTGGCCATCTCCCCATGCACTTGGTGTTGGCTAGCTCAGTCCCTCCGCTGCCTTCCCCGGGCTCGGGCTCCCTCCTCTTCTCTCTCAGGCTCTGGCTTTCAGGGGCTGTCTCCTGAACTCACTGCCTCCGTCCTTTGTACTGGAGTGGCAGGGAGATGGGCAGGACACCTCGCTGTCATTGCCTAGGGTCTGTGCAGAGCAAGGCACTGCTGGTTTCGGAGCTCTCCGCCGGCTATCCCTCCCCCCTGCCCAGGCTAACCTTAGAGCACGGGCAGGGCTGGGTGGGAAACAGACCTACCAACCAAGGCAGGCTAATGCCAGTTTCCATATTGCTTCATCACGCCATCCTGATGCCCCAGGCTGCACACACAATCCCCCTGATCTCCCTGCCTCCTGCCTGAGACCAGGATAGGGCTCCTGAGTCTGTCCTACCTGCTTCTCCAAACTGCAGTGATGCCTTCCTTCCCTCCATGAGCCCTGAATCAACCCCAGGCTGGGCGCTACCCCACCCACTCAGCCCGGGGAGCGCAGGGAGCCTGGCGGTGGACCCAGCCCCCAGCAATAGCTCTGGCCAGGCCTCGCATGTGGGGAGACGCAACAGAGTGGTCTGGCAGCAAAGTTCTGCTGTTTCAGGTTTCCATCTATCTGGGAGCCCGGCTCTCCCTCCTACCCTCCGGCCTCACACGGACCGGACCGAATATCCCTGCCCCTCACCAGAGTTTCACCCCCACAATGGAAAACAAGAAAGGAAAGGAAACCTCCCGAGATAAGGATGAGCGAAATGAGAAGAGGGTGTCCGCACCAGTGTCCGTGTGAGGGAGTCCTCAGGTGAAAAAGAAGGATGCAAAGTTCCCGGTCCCCCCGGTGCTTCCAGCCCCCGCCAAGCTCCCACAGACACCGGATCGCGGAGACGGCGGAGGCGACCACTCACCTGGGCGAGGCAGCATCTACCCCAGGCTAGGAGGCGGCGAGGCCAGCTCCGCGGGGCGCCCGGGGTCCCTGGCTCGGCCACGCATGCTTCCCCGCCCGAGACAGGCTGGAGCTAATCCCTGGGATCTGGAGAACGAAGGCAGATGGTGGCCTCGGACGTCCACGCGGGGAGAGCCCTGAGCGGCTTATTCAGTTATATCCATGGCATTTAGCAAGAAGAGAGGAAAAAGCACAACTTGTTCTCTTCTCTTCCAGATTGTAAAAAACCAAAAGCAAAAAAAAAAAAAAAAGATAATCCCTCCCTAGGAAGTCGCCGGTAGGATATTCCAGATCGAAGAACCCTGGGCATTTCCAGGCACCCAAGGCATCTTGGAATATGGGGTGTCTTCAAGTTCAGATGAGCCAGCCAGGGTGTGCGTGTGAGTGTGTGTGTGTGTGTGCGCGCGCGCGAATGAGCGAGCCAGGCTCTCACACCCACACGCGCACACATACAAACACACTTCCCCGCACTCGCCGCGTGCACACTGCCCCCCGCGCGCGCGCACGCGCTCCTGGACACACACACACACACTCACACACACACACACACACACACACTCATACACTCACACACGCACGCACGGTGATCACACGCGCAGATCGGAGAGGGAACCGGCGGGCTGCGGAGGCAGCGCGGGGCCAGCGGTGAAGGAAGCCAAGCGGCCGTGCGCACCGTCCCTGCGGAGCTCTCCGGTGTGGCCGCCCCCAGTGGCGGATGGTGGAGCTACAGGGACAGGCAACCAGCCTCCGCGTCCGCCGCCCGGCGCACACGCTTCGGCGCGGACCACTGCTGCCGCCGAAACCGGAGCGATCGCGGGCCCCGCGGGGGTGGCGTGCTGCGGAGGCGGCGAGGCAACGGGCTGCCCCGCAGGCTGACCGGCGGGACCCGTCCAGAGGGGCGGGGGTGCGCCAGGGCCGCGGTGGCCGGGGCGGGAAGCCGGCGAGCCGAGAGCCCCGGGAGCCAGGAGGGCTGCGAGTCCCGGGAGCCAGGAGGGCGGGCTCCGCGGCCCGGCGGCGCGGGCAGTCCCTGTGCAAGACGAGCCGGGTTGCCCGGACTGTGCCGCCGCATGCAGAGCCGGTGCTGCCGCCTCACGTGCGGAGCGCGCCGTGCAGCCTCCAGCCCGCCGCCTGCCGGAGGAAAATCCGCCGCGTCGGCCCCGGGCTGGGTGGGGGCTGGGAGGATCCCAGCCCCTCCCAGCCCTGGACCCAGCTCCGATCCCCACTAGGAGGGACCTATGAAAAGCGAGAGCCTGGTGAATGCACATACACACGTGAAGACCTCGTGAGTATCAGTGGCACCAACTGTTTGCGCAGCGTCTTCGCAACTCCTTCCCTTGTTTGACCCTCCCCGCAACCCTCCTTCCTCGTTCGCGGGAAGTGAGACCCAGAACAGTAAAGAGACTTGTCCAAGGCGCTTAGCAGGTAGTTGAGTCTCTACTCCAAGCTGAGTGCAGACTTGGCATCAGAAGGTATGGGTCTGCTCAGGACCTCATCTTCCTTTGGTCATTCTCTCTGCCCACTGGGATCAGCGGCAACCAGTTTCGGAGGAAGATAAGACTGGGCTCTGCCTTACTGAGCTTACCAAGAAGTAAGTGTACCTTTGCCACGGAAGGAACTGAAATTTTGACACTCCTGCTGGTACTCCAGCTAGTAAATCCCGGAATCGGGAGAATGTTTCAATTCATCTCCTCTCCTAGTGGCTAACACCTCCCATGCACCTGTCCCAGACACCCACAGGGAGGCACATGTGGCACGTGGATATGTCTCTGCCACCCAGGGTAGGATCCGTTGGAGAAATCTGTAATATAAGACCCTGCCTCCTGTCTGTGCACATGGTGGGCAGGGGATGGGAGTGTGTATATCTGCATAAGCCCAGGCACCTAGACCCCATGAGCTGGGCACCCTCCCATGTGCACCCAGGGGAACCACCAGATCAGCATACTGCAGACCCTGAAAGACGGCCCCTTCCCTGCAGGGGCTCTGGGAAGCCTGTGAGAAGAAGGACATGGCCAGGATGAAACAGTACGCCAGAGGGGGCTGACACGAGAGCTAGGGGCAGAAACAGGGCGCATGGGGACCTAGGAAGGCAGGAGAAATGAGATAGGGAGGAAGAAGAAGAGGTGAGAGGGAGGAGGTAGGGTAGAAACAGGAGGATGTGAAGGGAGGAGGGAGAAAAAAGGATGAAGGAAAGGGGATTAGCACAGAGAGTGTTTTCTTTATTGCTCACCCGCGGTTTTGCATAGCATCCGGAGGGCCCACCAGGGAGGGGGTGAGAGTTGGAGGAGGAACTGGAGCCCAGGCTCCACCTCTGAATTCCCCAAAGGGTCCGGGCAGCAGGCTAGATTACCTTGTTACCCCATAGTCACCGAAGAGGGGATCAGAACCCAGAACAAGGGTCAGACCAGGCTGGCAACAGAGCAGAGATGGACCTGCTCTCTGAAGTCAACGAAACTTTGGGATGGTTCAGAGGAGGGGCCGGGGCCCACAGGGATGCTGGAGGGATGGGCCAATCTCTGCTCCAAAGTGAACTCGACTCCCCATCCAGAGTTCTCCCAACTCACAGAAGGGAATGAAGAGCTAGGACCTGGATCCTTCCTTGGGTAATTCTGAGGACAACTGGCTTATTTTTCTAATCATATTGGCCTCAGCCTGAACTGAGCACTGTGCCAACAGTCAGATGGCCTGAATGCTCACCATGGCTTAGTCCTACTGAGCAACGTGCAAGTCCCTTTCCCTCAAAGGGGTTGGACTGTGTATGCTCTAAGGGCCTGTCCTACTCTAGGAACCCCTGAGCACCCTGGGCCGATGGAACAGGGTAGAGACCCAGATGCACCTTGGAAGGCCAAGGGAAAAGCAGTCTGAAGTCACCATGGAAAACCCCCAGAAGATGATCCACACTTGGACAAGGGAAAGGTGAACAATGGCAGGTCTCTTGGTTCCTTGAGCAAGTCAGAAAGGCTGGGTAGGGACACTGCTGTGGGAGCTACCTGACTGCTTTTCCTGGTCACAGACCACAGAGGTCAGCCAGGGCTTCCCAAATGGGCCAATCACTCAGAGAGAGAGAGAGAGAGAGAGAGAGAGGGAGAGAGAGAGAGAGGGAGAGAGAGAACACACAAGCCTGTATACAAGCCATTCTAATGATGGGCATCTGAAATCTACATGTCACATTTGTACTCTTCTAAACAACCCTGTGATGACATCTTTGTACCTAAGTTTTGCCCACATCTTGGGCTAGATTCCCTGGAATAGAATCACTGGGTATGAACACTGGAAGTCTCCTGTACACATGTCTTTGTTTCAGCTCCAGAGTCAGGGCACTGAAGTGCGGAGCCACTAAATGATCTCCCAGCGAGCTCCCTGCAGGTACTCAGGATGCTTTCACCACCCTCTCCTGTCTTGTGCTTCCTGCTGACCCATGGCCCCCTGCGTCCTCGACTGTCACTCCAATACCCCAATGGGAAGAAAGTTTCTGCTCCCCTGACTCAATTATGATTCCTCCTGCCCTGCCCCCTGGGCACTCGTGGCCAGCTGGGCACATGGCAGGCTCCCATACTCACTTGCTCAATAAGATGACAGTGATGGATAAGAGCTCCCAGGAGGGCAGGAGGTCGCAACGTATTCAGCCTGAGGAAGAGAAGGTCAAGGTGGCCCGGCCTTCATAACCAGTAGAAGGACTCTCCCTGTGCAAAAGACTATGGGGAGCCTCTCTTTGTATTCACTGAGTATGAACAAGGGGGGAAACTGGTGTGAAACATGGTGAGGGGGAGGGCTTCAGGGTAGATTACAGGACAGAGCCAGGTGCTGAGGCTGTGGAAGCACAGGTGCAGTCTGGGCTCCCAGGAGTTTCTGTCTCCCACGGTTTGTCATGGCCGAAGAGTGACCGTGTGGGCGAGGGAAAGAACAGAACCCTGCCGTGCATCTCATAAGGCCTGGGGGCTCATTCCACTGAGCCTGCTGCGTGAACCAGAAGCTGGGAGCCACTCCTGAAATTGTAGCACCCCAATTACTCCCCTTCCCCTAGGACCAACAGCCAGCCTAATTCCCAGTGTATCCCACAGGCCTTGTGGAACTCGGGGGAAGACCTCCTCGGGAGCCGAAGCTCAGGCCTGCAGTGCACTTTGCCAGAAGCAGGCTGAGTGTCTTAACCCTGCAGAGCCCTCTACCCTCCTCCCTTCCCCAAACACAGGAGAAGCAAGCACAATACATTCTTATTAGTATGCATATGCATCCCCAAATTCCTTAACAGAATGACTAACACCACCCACAGTCATTAGCTTATTAGCTGGAGTTTGTTTTCTAAATCCAGTTTACTTTTCATCCTCAACCCTCTGTTTACCTTTCCCCCTCCCCCAGTCCCCATGGCTCCCTTCACAACCTCACCCTCTTCCCATATACCAAATCTGGCGTTGGGTTCCTGAGGCATCAGAGAGTCAGACTATCCTGGGAGCTCGTACTCAATGAACAGAAAGTCTTCAGTGAGCCTACCACCTAGCACATCACTAAGACTGCTGGGGAGAAGACAGGGAGGAGGAAGACAGAGTCCATTCCTGGAGAGAAAGGACATAAGCTAACCCTGGCCCAATGCCGTGCAGTTGATAAAGGGCATTCCCAAATGCTACCTCACTTGTTTGTTACAACAATCACACAAAAGGGGTCATTATCCCCATTTTACAAACAAAGACACTAAGTCCTATGCAGGTAACGTTGTGACCCTAAGAGTTTGGAGAACCTGATGGGCGGCACTGGATTTCAAGCAGACTCCTCATCCCAGGCTCCTTCCTGGTGTAGGGCAGCCTCTCCAGTACCTCTGAGTGCCGCTGAGGGCCGGAAGGGCAGGCGACATTTGGTGAAGGCTGTGCAGCCCGGGAGAAGCGCCTGGAATTGTGGCACGGTGTGACAGGAGAGCACCAGAGGGGAGGATGGGGCCTCTGGACTCTTTAGAGCAACCTGGGGCAACTCTTCCTCTCTCTGGGCCTCAACTTCTCCATCCCTAAAATGGGAAAGTTGGGGCCGAATGGCCTCTAGTATCCAATGAACAATCAAGCAAACAGCCACCCAGAGAGGGACTTGAGAAGACAGATGCCACTGACTTCCCTGGCTTTGCCTCCTGCCAGGGAATCCCCAAACCGTAAGGGTGGTATTGAAGCAGACGATACTGTGAGCTATGGCAAGTGCCCAGGAGAATCGGGAGAATCACCGTTCTTGGCTACTCCCCACCCCCGCGCTTGCCACAGCCCTCCCCGCCTCCTCTCTTGCCACCAGGGACATAACAGCAAGAGCCCTAGGCAGCAGCGGGGCACACAGTGGGCAGGCCACTTCTCTCTTCCCTGGACAATGGTTATTTTATTTCATTCTCACCCAAACTCTACGAGGCAGGTGCTGTCATTATCTTCATGTTGCAGATTTGGAAACCAAGGCACAGCAAGGCTGAGCCACTCGCTAGGTCAGAGAGTTGGCACGTAGCTGGCCAGAGTGTTGGCCCTG